CAGTGTTCGGTACGTAAAATTGACGTTTTGCGGATTAATCGTTTTCACCATGGCAACTGTACAAAAAGTAGATACTTTTGGTCCTAGTACCAAAAAGAAATTGACCTTGAAAGTTGACCAATTAAAAAATTACAATCACGGAGATATGTCACATTGACATCGTTTTACATTGCAGGTTATAAGATATTTCTATACATACAAATCAAATCTTTTTGCATATAAATGCAAATAATGATGTCACCTATACGTATGTACATGTATTGAAAATGATTTACGCTCGCTATTTTTATTTAAACCATGTGTAACGTAATTTACATATTCGATGAACGTAATTTTAATACGTATACAACCCGCCGTCGCGCGTAACGCCATCTACTTCAGACCCCTTGCACTATTATCTGTCATTTTGAATTCAAAATTTTGAAAAAGTTTATTGCAATTAATTTTAATTAAAAAAACTGTGGTAAGTTTTTTATTTCAATACAAAATATAACAATATTAATTGTGTATACAATAAAATGACTGAAACTGATAGCGACATGGATTGCACTCCGCCAGAGATTATAGAAACGGCAGAACATGCTACCTCAAGATTTGCTCCCTACAAAGTCGCGAGAGGTGAGAAGTAAGAAGTCAGAACGAATAGGTTATAAGTTAACCTAAAAACTAGAGTGGCATGACACGTGAGGACAAGAAAGCAGAAGTTCTTATACTAGTAGTGAAACTGTGACTGAATCTAAATTCGAATATAATTTGAAGTAAAGGGGGTTGGAGAAAAAATTTTATGTTTTATTCGTACAAAAAATGCGTTTTCGGGACTCGGAAGGTTGCTGGACTCCGCTAACGCGTCGTCCAGCAACTATCTTCCTCGTCCCGAAAACTGACATTTTTTGTACTAATGAAACAAATAACTATATTGGTATAAGTTTCTAAGCGAACATTAGTATTATTTAAAAAAAACATCTAAATGGCACATTTCATGTGATACGCTGAACGTTACATTTTGGGGTGGAGAAATACTCGATCGTTTTATTTGGTTTGTACTTCTGGTCTAGCTAAACTTTACTAAAAGACTGATACAAATTCCTTGGTAAAATGGATCTGTTTCGAACCTGATAATTTAAAATGGTCTCGTCCGCCTTTAACCATTAATCAGTAGCTAGGAGCAAATGAATACCTATAAAAAATAACAATGTTGATGTTGTGTAATCAACGTCTCGTAGGCTTTATTTTGGGATAAACACAAAAAGTAATGACAGGACATCCTGTATATGAGAATATTTCAATTTTATTAAATTTAAATCTGGGGAATTATTTACGAACTAAGCATAGAGTTAGTTCGCTTCATTTGAATTGGTTATCTCAGTTTTCTTTTAGAATTGTTTTTAAAAATAATAATAATAATAATAATAATAATAATAATAATAATAATCGTATTCAACCCAAACGCAAAGCCAAAGAAACACTTACACAATAAACTCTATTTAATAAAATTACAGGAATTATTATAATGATATTTTTGTTTTGTTTTCTTCTTTCCTGATAGCGTTGACTATTGTGGCCATTAATAGCTATGTTGGTAAGTATGAATTACATACTATCCGTAGATTTCCAATGCGAGTGTGTGAATATTTTTTTTTTTTTTTTTTCTTTAGAACCCTACATAACTTCACCAGACACAGACACTAATCGTTACTTGATTTTAATCCGTGCGATTAGTTAACCAGGCTAGACCTGAGTTCTCACAAGAAACACCGACCATAATAATAATAATAATAATGATTTATTCCCTACTTCTGTACAAACCAATTAACTAACAGTATAAATAAAATTATAAAATAAACAGAAGATACCTATTACAGGTGTCGGGAAGAAAATAGAGCGTTTATACAATAACTAAAAAATAATAATTTTTTTTTCCTTAATAATGTGAATAGAAATAGAAATAATATGGATGATGAAATGTTAACTAAGAATTGGTATCATGAAAGCTATAGAACTCTTTTAATGAGTAAAATTCCTGCGATTTTAACCATAATTTCAGGCTGCGTTTAAATTTGGTTAATGATTGCTTAGATGTTATGCAGTCAGGCAGGTGATTGAAGATTTTGATGCCTATATAGGAAGGGCAATTTTGTAAAAGCGATAGGTGTACTTTTGGAAGTCTTAATTGAGTATTTGACCTTGTAGGATAATCATGGACGTCGGACGATTTAGTGAGAGATTGTTTGTTTTTGAAAATGATAATAGATATTTTATAGATATAAAGGCTCGTTGAGGAAAATATATTTAGCGATTTAAATCTTTCTCTGCAAGTGTCGCGTTTGCCTATATACAGCAAAGTTCTAACTGCTTGTTTTTGTAACTTAAACGCGGCATTAGCATGAACACTATTTCCCCAAAATTCTAACCCATATGCAAGCAAACTTTCAAATGCAGAGTAATATACAATCTTCGCCGTTGCTGCTCCTAAACTGTCTCTTACCTTCCTGATTTGGTAAACAGCCTTTGCTAGTTTTGGACCTAAATTAGTGACATGTGATGACCACGATAAATTTTCATCTATCGTAACACCTAAGAATTTTGTGTTATCCACAGATTTAATTATCTGATTTCCAACATTTAAATGGAAGTCGAACTGTTGTGCTTTAGAAGTTTTAAACAAAATCGCAAAGCATTTATCGAAATTGAGAATTAGTTTATGACGGTACATCCACTTTTGTATTTCAGACACCTTATTTGCAGCATAATCATGCAGAGTATTAAGACACGTGCCCTGAAAGGCAATAGAAGTATCGTCCGCAAACAATGTTAAATTTATGTCTGGAAATGAAGTCATTAAGTCATTTATATAAATTAGAAATAAAATGGGACCCAGCACGCTGCCTTGTGGGACACCTCTTTGAACGAAATTCTTATCGGAGTGCATTTTGTGAAATATACCTTTCTCTGATAATGTGGTGATTTCTGTAAACTGTTGCCTATTACATAGGTAAGATTGAAACCACGAAGCAGCTATACCTCTGATGCCGCAGTTGGAAAGTTTCTCTAACATGATATTATGGTCAACACAATCAAACGCCTTGGAAAGGTCACAAAAAATGCCTAAAACGAATTGTTTTTCCGCCATAGCTTTAACTATGTTCTCCATAAAATTCCAAATCGCTATTGAGGTGTTCTTATTTTGCTGGAAACCGTATTGATTATTTGCAATTAAGTTATGAGATTGAAGATAGCGTAGTAACCGTGCTTTCATGGCCTTCTCCATGATTTTTGATATGACAGACAGCAGTGAAATTGGCCTGTAATTGTTCAAGTTTCCTTTACTACCTTTTTTGTGGAGAGGAATGATCTCAGCAATTTTTAGACGCGTTGGGAAGATTCCATTAGAAAAAGAAGAATTTATAATTTCAGTTAACGGGTACTTTAGCAAATCCCGATTTTCTTTAATTAAACTAATTAATTGCGTAATCCTTGCTTAAATGTTATTGTTTATTTAGATTTGTGAATTTAATTATTGTAAAACGTGAAATTGCGATAAGGAGTTTATAAATTTAATTAACGGACGTGTTCGTATCTTTGTTAGAATAATGTATTTTACGATTTGTGAGTTATTTCAGCGAATGTGGGGACACGGGACGCGTTCCTCTGAAGCTGTGATTATCTAATCTGGATGTGATTGATTTGAAAAATCCCGAAGAACGAGTTTATTTCATAGTGGAAGTTGTGTTTATTTAAATACTGGATACAACGAGTAAACGCGGCTGCTGCTACACGTGTCACGACGGTTGTAAAGCGTGCATTATGTATACGATACATTCTCGGGCTGTTGAAGACGCAGTTTCGTCGGTTTCAAGTATATAGGAGAAGTTAGGCAATCTTAAAAGTCAAAAGTCAGGTGAAATAGTAAAATTTTGTAGAAAGTTTTAAAAACGGATTCTCCATATTATGTGAGTAAAGAAAACAGTTGCATACTTAGGTAGTAAAAGTTAAAAGTGTCCGAGCAGCCACCGAAAATCTTTTTCATCTTATCTATCAAGCTAATTCGAGTCATTCATTGAGTTCAGTTTAATAAAGAAAAAGTGAAGTTTCCTGAAGTTGTCAGCGAGCGTTTTTGTTTCTTTGATAAGTGCGCTTGAATATCGCAAACCTATCACGACCAGATTTTTCGGATTATTAAAAAAACTGTAAGTAATTTTAAGATTTTTTAAATTTTATTTATAGACCGTCTGCGTGCGGGGTATTATGTCCAAACAAACTTTGTAAGCTTTCCTTTCTTTCAATAGATGTTGTTTTAAATTTGTTTCATGTGTATCGGAATACATTTTTGCCATCGTCAGTCAAGTAATTGTGTGTATCCTTTGTGCGACTCAGATAAGGTTTTTGTGTCAGATGTTTCTATTCGTATTCAAGGTTTATGTTTAATAAATTCTTTGGAATTTACGGAAGTTGATCGAGGTCACCGAGTCTCTCAAATTGAGAAGTTTTAAGTCAGTATTAAGATTTTTCTTTATAGCAGATGCCGTTTCAATTTTAATTTGCTTTGAGCTAGCTAGATAGGGGTTTTGTGAGTGGTGTGGTGCCCGCACGCCACTGCACACAGCAATAAAATTTGGATTAATCGATCAATTTCGGCCTTGTACAGCCCTTAAAAAATATTGTAAGTGGCCACGTTCTGTTTTACTATGTTAAACAAACCCTTTAATAAGCAATAGAAACATATGTAATATCTGGTTTTTTTACACACAACTGCAAAACTTTTTTACTCAGTTAAAAGATATACGCAACTTAATATTGATTTTAAATGGAAAACCTGCTACCTTTTCCTAACCGAGTTCATTTCTTTTACAAAAACCAAAGCGCGGATCCTTACTGCATTGGACCCCCATAAATATTTTTAAATAACCATACTGTATATACCGCTCAAACTTTAAGTATTCCATACTGTATATTATGGCTCATGAAAAGTTACCAGTTTCCCGTTTAGATAGATAGCTGCTGCGCTCCCACCCACCGGAGGTCTCGTCCACTTGATAACGTTGTTATTACAATATTACGTTTGTAGCAACACGAACGGTAAGATACATCTCCTAACAAAAAAAAACCTTAATAAATATAATTTCAGCATTTTTCACGATGTGGTATTACTAGGTATGACATGAGGCAGGGTATGGAACCAATTATTACATGGAAAATATGAAAGTAAAATAGAAGAGGATGATGAAGCTTTTAATAGTTTGTTACAAAAATATAATCAATTTGTATAATAAATATATTAATTTTTTTATCATTTATACCTGAAACTCTTCAAACTATTGCATCCGATGTAAGATGTAACGCATTCTCCATTATAATTGTAAATTCAACACATCTAGCATTACATTTTCTGTATGTAGGTATTAATTATATGCATTAAATTAAAATAAAATGGTTATTACACCTAATTAATAAGCGTCTTATCATAGCTGCTATAAATAAACACTATCGCGAGATTGCAGCTTCCCATCCTAATTATAATAGCAACTAAATTTCGCTCGCTGTTACTCTATACCTATAGCAGGTAGGGTTAGCTGCCGCTCCTACGAAATAGCTCATACGGCCTAGGGGTATCTAACGCCACCCCATACGGATACGCTCTACGCCCTGTAATCGCGCGGCGCGCCCCCATTCTAACAATACTTTAACTGCTAAACGTTCATATCTCAAAGCCCCGCCTAGCTCAGATGAATAAAGCGGTAGATTCGTAATTCGCGTATCGACGGTTCAAATCCTCGACGCGGCGCCTTTTTTTCAGGCAAATACAAGCTATGACGCGTTTCCTGGGCCAGAAACGCCGGAAGCAAAACAGCCAAAATGTGACGTCACAAAATGGGCGACTCACGCGCTCCCATTGGCTCATACGTGACCACGTGACCGAAATACTCGATTCTGATTGGTGTGATGTCACTTCCTGGTCCCGTAGGTACATTTCTCATCTACTGAGTACAAAATGATTAGACGTAGACTTTAAAGGGTATTTCTAATTACTTTCTTTCAGTCACAACTCCAATCGGTCAAAATCCTTACAGTAACACGTTCCGTACTGAATACACATACAAAAATACACTTTACCTTAACCTTAAGGCATCTACAACTACTCCCTTGAGTCAGTGATTGCTTCGACACCAATTTTACGCAATTCCAAAGCGTATCTGACCTTTATAACATGCACTTCCACACTGTTTGACAGATACTTGTGTAATGCCTTTTTCAAAAATTGCTCGTCGATGAGTCCCTACTCTTTCTTAATTCCTGATTTATTGGTTTTGGTCGATGTAAGAGAAATTAAGATTGTGTTATCGCCCGATAGACGGTCACCAATAACTTTTCTCATGGGATTACCGGTCACGACGCATCCGGTAACCAAAATATAAATCGCCAAATCCAATTATTTAAAAATTTGAAAATAACAAATTTTGTAGAAAACAACCCTCTAAGTGGCTCGCTGGGACTAAAAACCAGACTGGTAGCGACGAAGGTCGGCGCTGCACATCAACCTCCTTAAGTCAAAGTATTAGCGATCGTGGCGATGACTGCGTTTAACTGAGGTGCAGTGTCGACGACGGTGCCTCTCGGATACAGGGCGACCCCCGAATAGTGGCTCCTTTCCTGCGGGCTCTGCCCATATGAGCCCGAATTTCCGCATTACTCCCTTTCTGGGCTCCTCGTCAGAGGGGACCAACAAGCCGGGCCTCAAAATGGGTCCGGTTACGGAACAGGCTCCTCTAAAGAGGAGGCTCGAACGCAGTGCCTTATTCAAGGACCTGGTGGTGGGCCAGCTTCTATTCGAAAAATAGTACTGGCGCACAGAAGGCGCTGACCAGACCAGGAAGCGTCGACTCGAGAGTAAAATCTTGGATCAAGTGGATCCCGCGCCAAAGCCTAAGACTGTGTGTGGGTCGTTCGCTCAGGAGACAGCCCGAAATTAGGGACCAAGCGTTTCAGATCAGATAGAAGCACTTCAGAGTCTGCCTGAGAAGGAGCCCAGCGTTTGATGGGCTGACTCTTCGGGGTCAGTGAAATATTTATTTGGGATTCCCGCCTGACCTGGAAATGGCACATTGACCGAATAAGCAAAAATGCCACTGCATGTCTTTGGACATGTAGAAGGGCTTTTGGTTCAATCCTCGAGCATCGCCTGTGTGGAAGTAACACGAGCCATGAAAATCACGCCATGGAGTCACTTCTGGGATTAGAACCTTCATCCTTAGCTGTAGAGGCAGAGGCCCGGAAGGGTTCCATACGCCTACGAGTGGAAGGATCGAGGCAGCCTTGGGCACGGGCGGATCTTGGAAGAAACCCTCAAGTCCGATCTCCTCTTTGCAAGAAGGGTTGTGATCGGGGCTGTAATACTAAGACCAAAGAGATATAAAAGTCGTTCTCTCAGATAGGTAGCAGTGGCCGAACTCAGATCGCCCGTTCCTCAAACCTTAGGTTCTCGTCTATCTGGTTTACCTACAGACGGGTTCCTAACGGAAAGGGGCATGGGTAAGGGTAATAAGTATATATACATATGCAGTGACAGTCGGGCGGCGCTGAGGGCCCTGTCAGCAGACAGATTCCTATCGGCTACGACGCTTGATTGCAGGCGAACTCTAGATACATTAGATGATAAGTTTGGTCTGGGTGCCAGCTCACTGCGGTGTAGGGGGCAACGAATAGGCGGACGAACTGGTCCCGCAGGGCAGTGCGGTTGGGTCTTCGTTGGGTCCGAACCTACCCTAAAATTTGCTCCCTCCGTTGTTAGGACCAGGATTAAAAACTGAGCGCTCAGTCTGTTCCAGAACCAGTGGCAACAAGTTACTCAACCCAGACAGTCCAGGACCACTGAGTGTTCTAAGCTTCTAAAACTAAATAGAAGCCAGATTAGGAAGATCACCAGTGTCCTCACGCGGCACTGCATGGTCAACTATCACCTGCATAACATTGGGTTTGCAGGGCAACCCACGTGCACGTTCTGTGGGGTGGGAAATGAAACGATCGAGCGTGTGGTCTGTCACTGTGGCGCATTGTTCAGAGACAGACATTAACTCGTTAGAGCCGGCTATCTGGAACCGGGGAGGGTGAAGCAACTTAGGCTAAACAGGGTCCTATCCTTTATTGAGAAGAGCGGGCAACAAAGTCACAACCAACATGGTACATTTGTGTACCATTACATGTATGTGCCGAGGGGCAAGACACATCGACAAGCTGCTCTAAATTTTTGCTCAATGTTATTAAAATCACTTGGCTACTTATCAGTTAATGTATTTTTAGTTTGCGCGCATCATTAATATTTGAATTTAAAATGTTGTTTTACAGTCCTACGTCTAACGTCCACTAAGTATTTATTTTAAAACTGTTCTCGTAGATAAAGTGTCTGCTACCACATATTTCATTGTGCATATGCCTTATCTCACGCGCCATCACAAGTCTGTTGAAAATGATCAGCTTAATATCCCTATCCTTCACTTGTTAATCTCGCTAAAGCAATTTCTAAGCGCGCGAGCTTTTAAGAAATTGACTTTACCAGCAACTCTTTACCGCGTTTATTGATCGTATGCATACAATTTCTCCCGCACTCTTCCCAATTGTTACATTACTTCTGTTCGTCGAAAAAAAAGAACGTGCTCAGAATAAAATCGATATCAGAAGACAGCTCGTCCTTGTAAAAGCTCTTATGCTTTATACGAAGAGATATAGATAGAACCCATTGAATTGAAAATTGCTTGCCTCTTTTTATTTAAATATCGCTTCGACAGTCTGAATTTCTCAGCATGCCCTAATTTTCATTACATGCATGATTGGTTATTTCGATCGGCCGTCCTGCTCGTCGGAATTGTGTTATTTGGCATGAGGGTGGTTCGATTAAGCGCCCTGCCTGCATTGTGTCCGTTTAATCTGGATCAAGGTGACGCGTATTACAATTTCCTGTTTGTTTTATTTGTACGCCTTTCACGCATTAATATCATCATAATTATTATTACCTACAACCGATAAAATTACTATGAATACTATTATTACGTTTCTAATATGTGGGGCGATACGATCTAATTACATTAACCTTTTCAATTAACTTTGTTATTTGTTCTGTTTTTTTTTAAGATTTGTTAAAGATTGTCGTGTAATAAAAATTAAATGTTAACGTGCAGAAAATGTTGAATGCTGCCAAAAAACCTTAGTTGGCAACACTAAATGTAGCAGGGGAAATACCTGATTTGCGCGTTTCTGTCATGTATTAATAAATAAATCATGTTTACTGCGTTATAATTAGCAAATTATTCAAAAGGTAATGGACCCAGGTTTTCGGAAATTGAAACGTTAAAAACACGTCGTCATAATCTGTGATTGGTGCTATAATAGTAATCATGAGGGATTCTCAAAAATGGCGGTCAATTAGGTACATGTCGCTCGTGCCGAAGCTGCTAGGACGGGAAAATTATGACGACTGGGCTTTTGTTGTTGAAAATATTTTCGTTCTCGAAGGATTTTCGAAGTGCAACTCGGGCACATGGGAAGACATTGAATTGCTTACATTAGACACATCTTTATACATTCACCTAAAAGATGCCAAAACAGCAAAAGAGGTGTGGGATAAATTAAAAAGCATGAACGACGATTCAGGATTCACGAGGAAGAAAGGTTCATACCAATGCTAATGGCAGTAGAACAAGTATTACCATGACTACAGAATCTATCAAATCCAAATTATTGGATATGCAGCTAGATGATGGTGGCCACGTGGAAGCGAGAAAACAACTGGTGCATTTGCAGCTAAATTAAATACCAAGAAACCTCGAAGCGCTACCAAAACAGAAAAGAAAATATTGATGTGCTTTAAGTGCAAGCCCGCAGGTCACTTTATGAATAAATGCCTATTCATCTCATAGCTCTATGATTAATTGCAGAATATTCGTTCACGCAAAGTGCAAGAAATTACGCTTGCGAATAAAGTGACAGTTCTCGTTGTTCGTTATTATTCAATAAAAAATGGTACTGTGGCCAGCGAGTTGAGAGAAAACAAGGGTTGACCGTTGTGCAGTGTCTGCGGGGCGAAAAAACAAAAACTAAGGGTTCAGAATAGTCATTTTCAGATTTCATGAATTTAAGAATTTTTCAATTACATTTAAAAGTGAGACTAGTAGTTTACACCATTAAAGTGTGGGTCGATGCATATTTCTGTATTTCAAACGTCCCGTTGAATGTACTCTTCGTTTACGTAACTGGCTGAATGTGCCTTTAGCGTGTTAGGAGAGTTGGTACAATT